GAAAGTGACTGATTCATTTTTGGGAATTGGTTCAGTTACTTCATATATAGAGACGGCCTTTGTTATTTTATTTTATTTTATTTTTTTCGATTTTAAGGCTTGTATTCACAAATATTACGAATCATGAAAAAAGATATACTCCTATTTTGAAATTTATTCTGAAATAAATTTTATGATATAAATTTAAAGTTAGTGTAATGTAAACCCTATTTAAAATGATTGTAATCCATAAATGTATTTTTTTAAACTATTTTTTTAAATATTTTTTTTCATGAATTTATGGTATTATTGTTTTGTATTACCATCTTTATGTTGTCATGGGTCCATTGTGCTCTGAAGCTCTAATCCCTGGTTGGCCGGACTAAAGTCCTGGCCATTGTTCTGCCTCTGTTTTTCTGGCTTAGGAGTGTTTTTTGTTTTTGGTTTTTTAGCCGTATTCTCTTAGGTGAAATTTATTTTTAAAATTAAAAATTGATTTTGAGTCTTAATATTTTATATGTAGAAATTTTTAATAATTGAAAGTCAAATACAAATATATTTGCTAATGACTGATAAATTTTTTTGTTACTATGTGTGATTCTATGTAAAAGGTTATAAAAAATATATATATGTATGTATTCTCAATCAGAAATCAAATTCTCATTTGTGTTAATCAAATTTATCAAAAAAAATCATGAATTCCACTTGTATCAAAATATTTTTTTTCTGAAAAAAATAAAAACAATGAAAAATTATATAATATATAAATTATGACTTGTTTATAACTCATAGTGTATTATATTATGATATGTGTTAAATTTAAATTATTTATTTTAATAATCTTAATTTTATCGTTTTATAAAAGTATTGCTTGAACACTTACATATAATAAATTGGGAATTTTTTTTTAACATCCATGATATTAAGATTTTATAAGATAAATGACATACAATATTTTCATAGTACTTAAAGTCACTCAACAGTTTTATAGAGAAAATTCGACTTAGAAAAATTTTGTCCGCCTCAGGGAAATTTTGTCTCGACTCAAAGAAATTTCAATTTTCACAGAGAAATTTCTCTGAATTGGGTGAAATTTCTCTAAGTCGGGTAAAATTTCTCTGAATCAAATTTTCTCTGTAAAAATGTTGAGAGACCTTAGTTAATAAAAAAAATATCTTGAACCTCTCCTACTACACAAAGTTGGTGAGGTATATAAAGTTGGAGACGTATATTTCACTAATTTAATAAATTTGGTTAAATTATTTGTTTATTTTGATAATTTCAGTTCTATTGTGCTTATTTATATATTAAATTATAAGATAGTAAAATAAATATTCATTTTGATATTAAAAATAATAGTTAAATTAGAAAGAGAATTTAGTAATATAAAACTAAAAGTGATTCTAATTATTTAATTTTAATTTTATTTTTATATTTATTTGAAAAATAAAAATATGTAGAAATAAAACTACACAAATCTTATTTAAAAGATTAAATATAAATATGTTGGGAGTGGATTACAAAGAACATACATAAATTAATTATGTAGAGTATTATTGTTTGTTTAATATTCTTTTTGAATTATTCATACGTATTGCATACATGTATATAGAGTTTAAATTAAATAAAAATATTTTGTAATAAATAATTTCATGTTAATTAAAAATTTAAATATAAATTAATATTAAGATATCAATAAGATAGACCTAAAAAAATATAAAACATAAAAGGAATTTAATTTAATCCGTGCAATATACATAATTAAGCATATTATATATTATTTATTTATTTATATATCGAGATAATTTTTTTTAAATGTCGTAATAATTAAATTAAAATATCAACTATATAAAAGAAATATGATGATGACAAAACTGAATACGTGACAAAAAATATATGAAAAATAAGTATTTCTCAAATAAAATCTATATAAAATTGGTTGTTATAATTAAAATTAAATTTGTCTAGAATTTTATATGTAAATAAAAAAGTATGTTGATGTGACATTTTTTTAAAAAAAATAAAATTTTATAATGTGTCACATAAACAAGAAAAAAACACTACATATATATGATAGGGGTCTTGCTGTATTTTTATTTATTTATTTATTTATTTTGAATTACATACTCATGTTACTGCATTTACGTTTTTGTTGGATTTTGACTTTGCACATATCACATATCTCATTTGAATCTAGGAGATTTTTTTTAGGATTCCTAATATTAAGATTTAATAATATAAAGGACATTCAATATTTTCATTATGTCTAAGATCTCTCAATATCGATCTGGAAAAAATTCAATTTAGAGAATTTTTTTGAATTTTCCAGAGAAATTCTGGAAAGGCCAAAGAAATTCTTTGGATTTCCAAAGATTTTCTCTGGTTTTCGTAAGAATTTCTCTAGATTCAAACTAGAAAATTTCTCTGTCTTTCCAATCACGATGTGCAATACACAAATCGATCATCCAAATAAGTAACAACAACAACCAATATACATATATCCGGAGAATTTTTTTGGACTTCCCAGATAAATTCTCTGGATTCCAGTTTAGAGACTTCTCTGGATTTTCTCTGGATTTGAAGAAACAATAATGAAGATTTCAAGGAACAAAGTATCTAGCTTTACTATGATTTGTATTTGTCTACGAGAAGGCTAGAGAAATTCTCTGGATTCCAATTTAGAAATTTTCTCTGGATTTTCTTGGGATTTCGAGAAACAATAATGAAGAGTTCAAGAAAAGTCAAAAAATTTCCCTGTCTTCTCAATCACGATGTGTAATACACAAATCGATTACCCAAATAAGCAACAACAACAACCAATATACATATATCCAGAGAATTTCTCTAGAATTATAGGAAAGCCAAAGAAATTCTCTGGGTTCTAGTCTAGAGATTTTCTCTAGATTTCAAGAAACAGTAAGAGTTCAAGGAACAGAGCATCTGGCTTCACTGTGATTTGCATTTGTCCATGGGAAAGCCAAAGAAATTCTCTGGATTTTATTTGGATTTCCAGAGATTTTGTCTAGATTTTCTATGGATTTTCTCTAGATTTCAAGAAACAGTAATGAAGAGTTCAAAACATAGTAGAAAATTTCTTTGCCTTTCTAATTACGTTGTGCAATACACAAATCGATCACCCAAATAAACAACAATAACAACCAATATATATATCTAGAGAAGTTCTCTAAATTTAGAGAATTTCTTTGGATTTTAAGAAACAATAATGAAGAGTTCAAGGAACAGAGCATCTGGCTTCACTTTGTTTTGCATTTGTCCATGGAAAGGCCAAAGAAATTCTCTGGATTCGAGTCTAGAGATTTTCTCTGAATTTTCAAAGAATTTATTTGGATTTTCTCTGGATTTGAAGAAACAGTGTGATTTGCATTTGTCCATATACATAACACATACAATTCCTCAAACACTAAAGCTTTAAATCCGAAATTCAAGAACTCAACATCCTCAAATCTTTTAAGACCCATAAACACCATGCAAAATTGTCAAACAAACCGTAATCACATTGTTCATCAGGCAGATTTTCAAGAAACACATATTTGCATCAACTATATTGCAGAAAATAAAGAAAACAAAGCAGGAGAAAAATAGAGAGAGAGAAAGATGGAATATATATCAAAAAATAAAACCCTAATCTTCAATAAACTCGTATTACATGTGTATGGTTTATATGTATTTGTTTATTTTATATATATACACGCACATACATAGAGAAAGACCAAATATTCTAGATGAAACAAACCCTAATCAGACCTACCATGAAAGATTTCTTGGACTTGTGTTCAATAATCACATATTCATGCCATAAGCACAAAACAAAGCAGAGGTTTGTAAATTTATCAATGTGTGTGTGTGTGTATATATATATATATAGAGAGAGAGAGAGAGAGAGAGAGAGAGAGAAAGAGAAAGATGAGCTGATGGAGTAGATGCAATGGTAGTAAAGAGCTATCGACGGCGGTAATAGAGGTGGAATTCGTTGGGGAGAGGAGAACAGAGAGAGAGGAAGAGAGGGAGAGACCGGTTTGATTTGAGAGAATCAAATTTCTCTGTGATATATAGGTGTCAGGGTTGAAGAATATTAAACATCACAAAATAATAATATGGATTTCTTCTATTACTAAAAATGAGATAGGAAACTTAGACTAATTTTCTCTTGAATCTATCATAAGAAGACCTCCCATCAAATGAATACCAATACACACATACAAAGAAGAAGAAGAAGAAGAAGAAGAGGAAAAAAAACAAACCTTTTTTTATCTCAGCATTTTTGCTTTTACAATAAAAAAAATAATTAAAAAACACCTTTTTCTTGTTAGCTTTCCGTTTTTACAATCCAAACATAAATTGATGTTGTGAATGAAAAACATCTTTCTTCTGGTTAGCGTTTCAGTTTTTACAATTCAAAAATAAATTAATATTTTTTTAGTAATACTAGGGATCATGAAAAAAATATCATGAAAATGATCATGAAAGATTCTCCATCTTTAGATTACACATACAATAAAATAACACATACTAATCAAATAATGAAAAATCTTCATGATGCATTTCATGATATTTTTTTCATGATTCCTAATATTATTCATATTTTTTGCGAATGAAACATTCTACAATCACATATTACTTACACGTACAAAAGTATCACAATGGTGCAATTTCTTTTTTATCAAGAACTCTAACAGTAACATTGTTATAAATATAAATTAGTATTATAAATAAATTTTAAAATAAAAATTAATTATTAAGCCATATTATTGTGTGTAAATATTTTGCATAAATTTTGTATTTTTATATCGTCACTGATATTTTATTTCCAACACAACTCCTATCAATCTAATTCTATTTACAACACAACTACCGTCAATCCTAATTGTAAGTAACCTGTACTTGGGAAAAACAATTTTACTATCTTAAGATTTCTATCAAAGTTTGTTCCTCTAGGCTCTAGGAGAGTTATACAATATAAACAACCCTGACGAAGCAAAAGAGAGAGAGCAAAGACGACTATGAGGCACATAGAGATGAAAGAAAGCAGAGCAAAGACGACTATGAGGCACATAGAGATGAAAGAAAGCAGAACAAACACAGATGATGACAATGTTGATGATCAACCACCATCATCATCATCTGTGAATATCCCTCTTCATATCCTCTTCTTCGAGATCTTCACCAGGCTACCCGTCAAGTCTCTATGCCGATTCAGGTGCGTCTGTAAATCAATCCGATCTTTAACACTCAACAACAACAACGACCCTTTCTTTCTGGATCTCCACCTCTCTCGTTCCCAAACTCGTCCACAAGCCACCACTCTTCTCATCCCTGCAATCCGCTCAGGCAATTCCTTTGAAATATTATCCGCAGAAGTCGGTGGAGGACCACTCACTCACCTCTACACAATCCCTGGTGGCTATGATTACCATCATCGCACCTTCTCTTTCGACGTTAATGGCTTGCTCTTTTTTCCCGGTGACAGTTGTTCCAACACATGCCCTTTTGTTTGCAATCCCACCACCCGACAATTCCTCAAACTTCCTCCACTCGAAAGCTGCAACCCGGACACATGTTATCAAGTCATAGATTATTTCCTTGGCTTTGATCCATCCACCAGGATTTTCAAAGTTGTCAACATTCATCTTTACCTTGAATCTGATATGATGGTGTGCCGGGTTTTCACATTGGGCAGCCACAGTAGTGGTGGTTCATGGAGGACAATTCATCCCGGTTTTCCATTTGAAGGATGTGATTGGTTTATAAATCCGACCAAAAGTGTTTGTTTAAATGGTGCAATACATTGGTTTCTTAAAGCAAAGAATGTCATCGTGGCCTTCGACTTGAAAGATGAGAACTTCCATGTAATTCCACTCCCCAACCATGACGGCGGTGTTTTTCAATGTCAATTATCCCAAACTGTTCTAATTCAAGTGAACGGGTTTTTGGCTGTCATTGGTTACAATTATCCTCGTTTTAGAATAAGAAAGATGGAGATGTGGGTGTTAGAGGATTACCAAAGACATGTGTGGATCAACCATATTATTGATTTGCCTTGCTCCGATTATCAATATTTTCGTCCTCTTGGTTCTATACCTACTGGTGAGATCTTGCTATTACCTTATCGCAATCTTTCTTCGGTGGTATCTGAAGTTCGTGTGTTTTATTATGATATGAAGAACAGAAGCTTTAGAATCACTGAAATTATTCAACCCCCTAAAGGGGTTTGTTGGTATGTTAGTAATTATTTTTGCATGACAAGTTATACCGGAACTCTGTTTTTCCCTGAGGGATGATCAATAAGAATGTATTTGAATTAGAATTTGAGGCAAGTTTAGTTTTTATTTCATACACTTTTCCCTTTACAAATATTTCTTTAAATTTATTTAATCTATATATTTCAACAAATTGTAAGTAGTTTTATGATCTATATATATGAACTGCAGTACTGCATAGGCTTCTCCAGATACACAAACTAATGAATATATCTAGTTCTCTTTCAGTTCCTAGTCAGTGGTTGTGATTTGATATTATCTCAATTGGATCTTTGTTATTGTGTAATTTCTCTGTATGTAATGGGGTCTTTCCATCAAATGAGAAGCATATGATTTTGGTATCTAAACTGAAATGAATATGAAAATTGTCACTGTTGTTTTGTGATTTCAGTATGGTCCTGCTTCTACCACCGGGGGTGATGGCTCAATGGATTATGCATGTCTTTTGTTCTAATTGGTTTTGTACGGTCGGGTATTTAGGTAGAAATTTTCATCGAATTGATAATATAGGTTTTATAATTTTGCGTACTGATACCAAACCGTCGCACCAATTGAAATGATACGATTCGGTTCGGTATTGTTTAATCGGTTTAAGATATTTCAAATTTAAGTAATTTTTTAGTATGATCACTCATTTATGTAAAAGCACTGAATTAGTCATTTGTCAACCATTTCAAACATATCTAATCCATCTATTTAATAAATACTTTATAATTTCTAAATTAATAAAAATACAAAAACAAAAAAATAATAATAAATCCTAAGATTTCAAGATTAGTGAATTAGAATTAAGATTATAAAAAGGGTATCCTAACTTAGGTTATAGGGATGATAAGATTAATTAATTGAGATTAATAATTTATTATATTTATTAATATCATTATATTATTAAATTATATATATTGAAACAGTCTGTTTGTTTAGTTCGGTGCATAAGATGTTTAAACCGATACCGAATCGAAAATTGAAAAAAAATAAAATAACTACACATACCAATTCTTGTTAAAAAACAGACCAAATAAGCCCAATTCAGTCCGATTTAATCGATTTGATCGATTTTTTTTTGACATCCCTATCCACAGGGGTGTGCAGGGGTCCACTCTTGGGGGCACAATTTATTGTAGGAGTTGTGGCAATCTTAGCTACCATTTTAAAAATAAAAAAGGGAAAATAAACGTAACGTGACACCTACATAAACGTAACGTGACACCTATGGTCTATGGTAACATTCAATTTCCTATATAGGAAATAGGAAATAGGAAATTGGAAATTGAATGTTACCATAGATCATATCTACATAAACGTAACGTAACGTGACACCTACATAAACGTAATGTGACACCTATGATAGGAAATTGAATGTTGCCATAGATCATATTTATATGAAACGTAACGTGACACTAACATAAACCAGTAACATTTTCACATTTAATTTAAAAAAATAAAAACTGATTAAGTTTGCAAAACGTAATGTGACACGTTGTGTTACGTTTATGTAGGTGTCACGTTACATTACGTTTATGTAAGTGTCACGTCACATTACGTTTATGTAGGATCTTGTGGAATACATTCCTATCTAAATAAAGACTTGAGACTCTATAAGAAATTACACAGGACTTAGCCTACCATAAGTGTCTGAAAAAAGACTTATCAATAAGTCTCCCTTAAATATTAAGGACCAAATTAAAATAATTTTATACATTTAGGATCAAATTAATATAATTTAAACATTGAAAACTATAATCACACAAATACAAACCTTAAGAACTAAAAATTCCCATCTAAAAATAAAAAAACTAAAAATTGAAATGTAATCAACTCTTTTGTGAATAACTTTCGTATGTAATATACCACCTTACAACCTCATTCCTATATCAACACTTCTAGGAGTATGGAGAGTTACAAAACCCCAATGTTTGGTAACTTAGGAGAAAAAAGAAAAGAAATGATTAAGTCAGTTATAAAAAATAAAAAAATTAAAAAAAAAATTGTGATTTCTTTCCCATTTGTTTGGGTAGATAAGAGAGAAAAGAAAAGAAATGATATTGATTTCTCTCCTATCTTATTTGGTTAACTTATATAAAAAGAAAAGAAAAGAAAGGTTTGGATCAACCATATTATCGATTTTTCGTCTTCTTGCTCCATCTATGGTTATAATTTTTATCCTCTTGGTTCTATACCAACTGGTGAAATCCTGCTATTGCCTTCTGGCAAATTGTCTTCGGGAGTTCGGCTACTTTATTATGATATGAAGAGCAGAAGCTTCAGGATCACTGAAATTATACAACCCCCTCAAGGAGTTTATTTCAATTTTAGTAATTATTTTCCATGACAACTTATACTGAAAGTCTGTTTTTTCCGATGGATGATCAATAAGAATGTGTTTGAATTTAGAATTTGAGGCAAGTTTAGTTGTTATTTAATTCACTTTTCACATTACAAATCTTTCTTCAAATTTATTTGATCTATACATTTCAAATCTATACATGTGAACTGCAATACTGCATAGACTTAGGCTTCTCAAGTTAGTGATTGAAATTTGATGTTATCTCAATTTTTTTTTTCTTTTATCGGCAATTTTTTTTTTATTGCTTATGATAATGTTATCTCAATGTGATCTCTGTGATTGTGTTGTTTCTCTGAAATGGGATCTTTCCATCAAATGAGGAGCATGTGATTTTGGTATCATAAACTGGAATGAATGTGAAAATTGTCACTATTATGTTGTGTTTTATCATTTTCTCTAAATTTGATTTTTTTTTTTGTAAAAAAAGTTAAGCGTCAATTATATTTTTCATTCTTATAGTTTGATTGAAATTTCACTTTAGTTCCTATTATTTCATTTTAAACAATTTAGTCCCTACAATTTAAATTCAATTTTAATTCAATTCTTTTGTCTAAATTTCTATTAATTTCTTCTGTGTACGCATTGAAAAATTGACAAGTTTATTAAAATTGTTAATTTTAAATTTCAATTTGAACGGAAAGTTTGAAACTACACTTAAAGTAAAGTATAAAGATCAAATTGTTCAATTTGAAATTGTAGGAATTAAAGTAAATTTTAAATCAAACTATAAAAGTGAAAGGTGTAATTAGAACCCAAAAATGAAAAATAAAAAAAATAGACATATTGAATTGTTATATTAAAATATTAGCATATCACCCGTGCTATGCATAGGATAAAATAATATATTATTTATTAAAAATACGATAATTATATTTAATTTTTTTTTTATATTTTGTCTCTTGTATATAAAATTTTATATATAAGTTTAAGGATTTTTTTTTTTAAATGTTCCTTTTACTATAATATATAGTATAGATAGATTAAAATTGTTATATTGACAATTAATAATTAAAATTATGCTTTGTTATAAAAAAAAATGACATAGTTCTAATACTTCACTATTTTAGAATAAAAATATATGAATTTAAAAAAATTGTCATATTGGTTTTTGAAGGGAAATAATTAAAGAAATTTTAAAAACTTAATGAATAAGAAAGAATTATCGTAACATGTAAAACCACTAAAATCACGGTTAAATCAGTAAATCATTCAAACAAAAAACGAAAATCACGGTTAAATCAGTAAATCATTCAAACAAAAAACGGTTTACCTTAATTAGTTAGGTTAAAAGAATAACTAACTTACACAAAAATTAATTAATTAAAATTTTTAAATTTTATTTTATTAAAATTTAAATTGTTATTAAATATGGAAGGCAATCTATTTGTGATGATCGGGTGCGTTATGAAGAACTTCAGAGTTTATTCATTCATTACAATCAATCAGTTACATTAGAGTGCTTTATATATACTAGCTACCATATGTATATATCTATATGGGTGATGCTATGGTACATTTAGATGTACCATATTTAGATATGTGATTAGTGGTTATGATAGATGTGATGTTAGTTATGAGCCAAAGAGTGTTGGTTATGAGATATGTGGGTAATGGTTATGAGATATATGATTGTTGTTTATGAGATATGTGATTTTAGTTATGAGCAAAGTAATGTAGTTATGAGTCAAAAGGGTGTTTGGTTATGAGATATGTGGTTATTAGTTATAAGATATGTGATATTGGTTATGATCAAAGTGATGTGGTTATGAGCAAAAGGGTGTTGATTATGAGATATGTAATGTTGGTTATGAGTCAAAGGGGGATTGGTTATAAGATGTGGTTATGAGTTATATGGGTAGTAGTTATGAGATATGTGATTAATAGTTATGAGTATGTGACATTGGTTATGATCAAAGTGGTGTGATTATGAGCTAAAGGATATTGGTTATGAGATGTAGTTATGAGATATGTGATTGTAGTTATTGAAATAATATGATATTGGTTATCAACAAAATGGTGCTGGTTATGAGATGTGGTTATGAGATATGTGATGAGAGCTCATAACTAAGTTATGATTAATTTGATTCTAGTTATGAACAAATATGATTTTGGCTCATAACTATAAAAAGTGACCTGCTTACCAGGTCACTTTTAATGATGTGGCTCAATCTGAACCATTGATTTTCTATGTACCATACATTTTTAAACAAAATGTACTATAGACTTTCCCTATATCTATATGTATCTATGTAACAAACTATATAACTTCCTAAACCAACACTCTCTTTCTCTAACTAATCTAGGTATACAATCATATGTGATGCACACCAGCATAATACGAACTACTCCCTATCATGCCCCCGCAAGCTAATGGGAGTTGAAGAAACCATGAGCTGTCAGTGAGAAAGGAAAACCAAGCAGTTGAAAGGGGTTTGGTAAAAACGTCAGCCACTTGATCAGCAGGAGGAACATATTTGAGGAGAAGTTTGTTGGCAGCAACTCTTTCACGGACAAAGTGATAGTCGACTTCAATGTGCTTGGATCGACTGTGAAAAAGGGGATTGGTACCAATGACATGGAGGAGAGGTTATCACACCATAACGTAAGAGGGAGTAGACTGAGGAATGGAGACTTAGTGAGAAGCATGTGTAAGCAGGACAGCTCGGCAGCAGTGTGAGCAACACTACAGTATTCAGCTTCAGTGGATGACTGGGAAACAGTGGCGTGCTTTTTGGAGGACCAAGCGGTGAGATTGGTACCCAAATAGACACAATAGCCAGAAGTAGATCGGCGGTCAGTGGAGTCATGGCATTTTCCTTCAATCTTGAAAAACCCATGCATGAATGCAAAATATATAATAAATCTCATGAAATCATCCATGCATGAAGGAATTCAACTATGTCTTGATTTTCTATGACAAAATATATGTAAGAGACAAATTACTTCAATGAATTCAACACTAGAACACATAAAGTTCATGCAAGTGAGCTAATCTTCATATTCATATCTATGAGCTCTCTCTTACATTAACTCCATAATTTCCTTAAATCCAAGATATGATGAGTCTAATCCATAAATAAATACTTACCTAGAGCTTGATTTCAGAT